TATTTTTGAATAAGGGTACACAAAAAGGGTATTTCTCAAAATCTTCTTTAATTTTTATAATTATTTTTTAATGTTGTTAAAAATTATATTTTTATCTTAATATTAACAAAATTATATATAAAATGTTGCGACATCTTATGTTTTTACTTGACACTTATCATGATCACGTGAGTTAGTAAATTTAAAAACCAAGTTTCGACATATAATCTCGTTTAATTGTTAAACTTAAACCATAATTTTAATTTATAAAGATAAATCATAATTTTTATTTATCATTTATATACCCAAACCAACAAATAACCTGATTTAATTGTAAAATTAAAGTTGAAACCTTAATCCTCTTATGTAAACAAAAACCGCCGTATATTCTTGTTAATTATAAATTTTAAATCCCTATCTTATTAATAAACCAAATTGACATAACTGAAATTAGGTTATTTGTTTAATTTATTAATAATTTTTAATATACAATTCTTTATAATATTTATTTTATATATTTTCTTTTTCGATTGGGTTAATAATATTTCTATTTTATCCAAATATTAACAAAATTAGTTACGACACGTGTCAATATCTTATAGTTTATAATTGACACGTGTCACGATCTTGTTAATGGCTAACTTTGAAAACCAAGGTTTATATAATAAGATTTCCTATCTAAAAAACAATTTGATGTTCAATTTTATATCTATTATATATACTAAAAGGATGAAAATAATTAAACCTAGAGATATAACTTAAATTAAGGGGAATATAAAAAAAGTTTAAAAAATAAATTTATTCTTTGGGAATTTTTAAGGTTTCACTCTCTCCTTATTGGTCCATTTAGCATTTATTTTTAATTATAATATTTATTTCTAATTAAACTAAATATCTAACACATTTAATCATATACTTTAATTCATACTTGAAATCCACACTTTACTACTAAATTGTAACTGAAATTCTATAACTTGTGAATTGACTATTTGTTTTCTCCATTCAATTTCAATTAACACACTATAAGTTATAATTATAGCTCCTCTAATTTAATTTTCTTAGAAATATAAAATACATAATATTTTATCCTATAAATACTCATTCTTACACCCTCCTCCACCATATCCGATACCCTCAATATTTCCTATGTTTTATTTTCTAATATTTTTTCATCGGTTGAAAGCTCAATTAAGATATCATTGTAAGAGCTTGATTATATATTTAGTTTAATATTTTGTTTTCAATTCTATTTTTTCGTTGTTTTATGTACTTCTTCATTTCTTCATTATTATTTTTTTCTTTTTTCTGTCATCACTTCATTGTTTTCTTATACTATTAAATGTATAATACATTCTATAATAATTTTTATGGCTATAAGAAAATTACTTTATTGATGGGATTCAAAAATATTGATTTCCGACCATCGCACCATAAGAAAATCAAGTAAAAAAAAACCATCTTCATTCTTTTACTTTAGATGTTTGTTTCTTTCTCACATATTCATGTATATTTATTTTATTTTCAAAAGTATGTAATTATTGTAACAAAATAATAGTAATTATTAAACCATTTTGTAAGACACTGAAATAAATAAAATTTTATACACGAATAAAGGTAATATGTATGTATATTTATAAGGTTACACACATATTTAGATGAATTTCAACATTTTTAGTGATTTTTTTGATAAGTTTTGAAAAGGGATAAATTTAAAAAGTGGTATTTGAAAAGGTGTATTTTTAAATTTCTCTCAATATCATTTCTATTTTTATCATTAACAATATTATTATTTTTTTTATCAAAAAATACTCAAAACTACTGAAGAAAATTATTATCAAAATTGAACAATTAATCAACGAATAAATTGAAGAGATATAAATGTATGCTTATATTGTATAATTTAAATAAATAAAGTGTAAAAATGTCATAAGCATTGAAATTTATTTGTTTTATTTTTTATAAGTAATAAATAAATTAAAATCAATTAATTTAATATACAACAACCCGCGCATATGCGCGGGACATTACCTAGTGGGTTATTAAAATGAGAACAGTGAAATTAGAAAGGGCAACCGAATGCTCCACAAGACTCTTTCTCAGGCGTGTCTTAGGCCACGTGCTAAGTCTTGATAGGTTGTTTATTTTGTAAAGCAAATGTTTTTTTATCTTTTGTCCGAAAAACAAAATCCCCAAATCGACATTCATCTCTCTCTCTCTCTCGTTTTCTCGAACCCTAGAAACCCAAATCGAAAATTATCACCCTTTGATCTCCTCTTCTTCCTCTTCTTCCCCGATGAAAGTCTCACCAAAAGAGGACCATGAACTCTGACCGTGTTATTCTTCGCTGCTGTGTCGTGGCGACGGTATTGTCGAAGGCGTCTTCTCCTCCCCCTCCGTCGCCTCCTCAGTATATTCCGGATCGGAATCGTTCGTCCTTCAGCGTGTGGTCTGTGGTGTGTCTCCTTCCCCAAATCGAGGGAAAGATAAGGTAAATGGATGTCTCTTCTGTTCCTTGTTATTCTTTTGTGAAGTTGGTTCTCGGTTTGGTTAAATGGCGAAGGATAATTAGGTTTATCGGGTTCGTGTAATGAATTAGGTTTGATCCTTTTGTTATTTGTCTAAACTGGAGTCATTAGTTCATATGTGCTCTTCTGAGGCGATTTTTAGTAGGACCGTTTAATGTATAGGGATGGAAGCAGAAATGATCTGTTCTAGGGTTAAGGTCTGTTGTTTCGATAGAGGATTTTTATGTGTGGTTGGATAGAATTTTTGTTTGGGAGTCGTATCTGCTGCATGTGTATTATTGTTTGGAAAGAGGATTTGTATGTGTGGTTAGTGCTTTCATTATACTGTAAATATGATGAATGAACTTAACTCTTCTTTTCAACTTTTTGCTGAGGATTGAAGCTGAGTCTTTGCTTGGTAATCTCATTCGTATATTCATTAGCAAGAGGATCTCCAAATTTAGAGGTTAGTCCATCTCTTAATACTTTATGCAATATATGTTACTGAATGAGAGTTTGTTCGTGTATGTGCTAGTCATGGTGTATTGGTTAGAAATTGTTTATTGTTTAGTAATTGTGCATTGAACAAGTGACCATTGATTGTGTTTTCAAACTGTGATTCTCTATTGAACCAAAAATTACAAAATGAAAAAGTCATTCTATATTGAACCTGTCATTGTGTTTTGAACCTGTCATTCTCTATTGAAGCTGTCATTGTGTATTTAAAATGTCATTGTTGATCAAGGCAAAACTGTGTTAATAACCCTGTGTTTGAATGCTAGTTTGTTGGTGTATTGGATAGTGAAGATGTATTGGTTAGTCATAGTGTACTGGTTAGTTATTGTTCATTGTATATTCATAGTGTATTGAACCAATGAATGTGTATTGAAACTGTCATTCTCTATTGAACCAAAAATAACAAAATGAACATGTCATTCTCTATTCAACCTGTCATTGTGTATTGAACCCGTCATTCTCTATTGAAAATGTCATTGTTTATAAATCACTAGCCTATGTTTGAAAAACACGTGCTGTATATAAAAAACATTAAGTGTTGTAATTGAATGCTACTTTGTTGGTGTATTGAACCTGTCCTTCTGTATAAAGTCTTCTACTGTCTGTTACTTACCTTTTCTAAGTTCATTTAATCCGGTTTACAAGAATCCTTTTAGCTTTATTGTTTTAGTCCTATCTTAATGGAATGTAACTGAATCCGGTTACATTCTCTTGCTTTTAATCTTTGATCTTCTTACAAGAAGATTAGTATTTACTTCAACTTTTGAGAACTAGAACCCTGTATACTAAATAAGAAAACTATTCTGTTTTTGAGAGTTCATTGTGATTTGATTGAAGTAGGTGAGTCATTTGCTTTGTAATAACTCTTTATGTGCTGTTATCAATTATCGTATTTGATCTCCCTTTTCCCTTTGCTTGATGATCCTCTCTCTTCTTTCCCTTCTATCATCTCCCTGTTCTTTAATGTCTGCACCTTCTATAATGTCTCTCTTCTTTCCCTTATATCATCTCTCTGGTCTGAACCTTCTTTAATGTCTCTCTTCTTTCCCTTCTATCATCTCTCTGGTGTGAACCTTCTTTCATATCTCTGATAGCTTCTTTTTCCCTTCTGTTCTGGTTCTGGATCTTGTAGCATATCTCTTCTACTATCTCTGTCTTAGCATATCTTTTCTAGCATCATATGGATTCAAATAAAAATCCATATGGTGGTGGTCCCGGTTACTTTAGCCTCAATAATTTTCCTTATGATAGCTTTTCCCAAAATCTCAACTTTGGATCTCCACAAAGCAGCCAAACCCCTTCTTTTAACCACCAACAGACTCAAGCTCCACCCTCTCAAGGCAGCCACATACCTGGTATGAGCCAACAACAGAGTCATGGAGGACCATCTCAAGGCAACCATAACCCTTCTTATAGCCACCATCAGATTCAACCTCCTAGTCAAGCTCAAGGCACACCAACTTGTACTAGGGAGAGAAGGCAATGGACCAGCATTGACGATCTTGTTTTGATTAGCAGATGGTTAAATACATCCAAGGATGTGATTGTTGGGAACGATCAAAGGTCAGGGACCTTCTGGAAAAGAATCTTAGAATACTATGGTGCCAGTGATCATGTTGTGAATGGAGGAGAAGCCAGGCTGCCTAACCATTGCAAACAAAGATGGGGAAGAATCAGTAAAGAGGTGTCTCATTTCTGTGGAGCTTATGCTTCTGCAGAGGGTGAGAAAGCATCCAGACAGAATGATGTTGATGTCTTGAAGAATGCACATCAGATTTACATGACTCTTTATGGGAAGAAGTTTACACTTGAGCATGCTTGGGTTGAGCTCAAGCATGAACAAAAATGGTGCTCTTTAGGGTTAATGAATCCCACAAGCAAAACATCCAGCAAAAAAAGAAAGGCTGAGGTAGCTGCACCTTCTTCACCCTTAGTTGGTAATGAACAAGAGATTAGGCCACCGGGTGTGAAGGCGGTGAAAGCAAGAAGGTTCAAAGGCAAAGAGAAGGGGCCAGCCACTGGAGAGTATCCGAAACTTTGGGAAAACAAACAGAAGGATATGGAGGCCAAGAAAGTACTACAAATGATGAGCCTTCTCGACACCCTAATTGCGAAGACAGTTCCTCTTGATGAAGATGAACTTGCCCTCAAGAAGAAGCTCATGGCTCAACTCTTCTAAGTAGTGTCATTTGTCTGTTTACCTATGAATTTACAAGTCTAAGTAGTGTCATTTGTCTGTTTACCTATGAATTCACAAGTCTAAGTAGTGTCATTTGTGTGTTTACCTATGAATTCACAAGTCTAAGTAGTGTCATTTGTCTGTTTATCTATGAATTCACATGTCTCATGTAGTGTATTACATGTCTGTTTACCTATGAATTCACAAGTCTAAGTAGTGTATTACATGTCTCATGTCTGTTTATGACTGAGATAGTTTGTGACAATGTATGAATCCGGTTTAATGATGAATGGTGCTACTTTGTTATAATTGTCTCATTTCTGTTTATGCCAGAGATACTTTGTCACAAATGTTTGTCAGACTTGTATAATTTCTCTTTCTAGTTGACATGTATCATTGATGTGTACATGAGTATCATTCACATGTATCATTGCTGTGTATACATGTATCATTGCTTTGTTATACATGTAGAATTCACACGTATCATTGTTGTATCATTGATGTGTATACCTGTATCATTGTAGTTGTTTAATGAGAACTAGCAATCTTGTCTGCCATGTCTATTTGATCTTGTTGGTGTGTGATCCTTAGTTTTTTGACTTGTCTGCTTTTTCTGGATTGCCTGGAGCAATCTGTCTATGGGTTTGATTCCAGGTTATCAATGAGGCACGACTATAGCTACTCACAGGATTCAGAGAGTGATCACCACTACACAGAAGACAGTGTAGAAAGGGAGATAGTCGGTCTCGTTATGATGGATGAATCTCAAAGTGCATTTTACTCAGCTAGCAGGACTGACCCTGAGATTGAGGTTGGCTTCCCAACCAAGTGTTACTGTGGAGGCCAGGCTCTGCTTCAGACATCTTACACAAGGAATGACCCGGGTAGAAAGTAAGATTTTGTGCTTCATTTGTCTTTCATTTGTCTTTCATTTAAGTATGTTATGAAGCTTCTGATAGTATTCTTTAACTGTTTGTTTTCATCCTCCACATGTTTGTTTTTTCAGGTACTTCACTTGTGCAAATTTATCAGATGGAGAAATGCATGTACACAAATGGTGGGATGTGGCAGTGATGGAAGAAATGAGAGAAAGAGCCAGAGAACACAAAGAGAAAGAGAGTATAACTGAAGAGAAGCTTCTGAATCTTCACCAGGTTGTGTTAGACTTGCAGACTAGGAGAGTAAACTTTAAAATGGTCCTTGGTGTTAGTTTTAGTGTACTGTGTGTATTCATATCAATGGTTGTGATATGGTGCCAGCTCTGATCGAGACTTTAGAGTAGTAATACCGACATGGTAGTTCGATTACTGTAATCACAAGTTGATACTATTGTTGTTTTTTTATTCACAAGTTGATACTATTGTTGTATTCAGATGTTCACAACTTTTTAATATTGTCGTTTAGATGTTCACAAGTTTTTAAAATTGGCGTTTTGCTGTTCACATGATGAACTATTGCATACCTTTAACAGAAATATCATTCACATGTAAAATTTAACACTTTCTATATATATGTCCTAGTGTTAGCTCATTCGAACAGCAAAATTCTCAACCTCACAACTTAAGAATCTTTATACTCTCTCGACCTCTTTATTTGCAAAAAATCACAACTCTCGTTGTCTCTCACCACAATCTCATTTTTTCAATTATTGTGTTTTCTCTCAAACATAACCATTGAACAAGTTATATCTTCTTCAATAACTTGTAATTTCATTTTAATCCTCTTTATAAATTTCTTTCTTTTTAATTCTTTTTTTCTAAATTTTTTATAAATTTCTAATTTCTATAAACTTCTTTCCTTTAATCCTTTTAATACAAATTCTTCTTTCATAGTTATTATGGCTTCCTCTTCAAACAATTTTCATTATCATTATAACTCCAATAATGATGATGATTTTGACAAATATTATCAAGACCTATTTGATAACCAAGTAGAAGCGACAGTAGAAGATATACCGCGGGAAAGAAAAAAACGTGCATATATCGAAAGAAATCGAGAAGAAGGTCACGAACGTTTGTGGAACGTTTATTATAGTGACAATCCTACTTACCCAGAAAGGATGTTTCGAAGACGGTTTCGAATGAACAAGCCATTGTTCCTACGTATTATCAATCGTCTCTCAGAAGAAGTTGGATATTTTCAGCCTAAAAAAGATGCAACCTTCCGAAATGGTTTTTCACCCCTCCAAAAGTGTACTGCAGCAATTCGACTTTTAGCCTACGGGGGTGGAGCAGACACGGTTGACGAATATATACGTCTTGGTGCAACCACAGCTCGAAACTGTTTGGAACATTTTGTCGTTGGAATTGTTGACTTGTTTGGCGATGAATACCTAAGGCGGCCTACAGAAGAGGATCTTCAAAGGCTACTTTATATTGGAGAACAACGGGGTTTTCCGGGGATGGTTGGGAGCATCGATTGTATGCATTGGGGGTGGAAAAATTGTCCAACCGCATGGAAAGGTATGTATTCTCGAGGTACCGGAAAACCAACTATTGTTTTGGAGGCGGTTGTTTCACAAGATCTTTGGATATGGCACGCGTTTTTTGGAGCACCCGGTACTTGCAACGATTTTAATGTTCTTGATCAATCACCAGTTTTTAATGACATTATACAAGGTCAAGCCCCCAAAAGAACTACTATGTCAACGGAAGGGAATATAACATGACTTACTATCTTATGGATGGTATTTACCCCGACTGGGCGACATTTATTCAATCCATCCGACTACCACAAACCCCGATACATTCTTTGTTTGCAAAACGTCAAGAATCTGCACGGAAAGATGTTTAGCGTGCATTTGGAGTCCTTCAAGCAAGATTCTCCATGGTTAAGAATTCATGTCTTCTATGGGAAAAAGGAAAAATCGCTTATATTATGAGAGCATGTCTCATACTTCATATAATTTTTATCTTTATTGTCTTTTATTTGTTTTATAAATTTTGTTTGTGTTTTGTTTAAAAAGATTTATAAAGTTGTTATGTTTTGTTTATAATTATATATTTCTATCTTTATTGTTCTAATTTAAATGTTTCTATCTTTATTGTTCTAATTTATAAGTTTAAATAATTTTCAATTTTTTTAATTTTCAAATTAATTAAATTAATAAATATATCATTATTATATTATTATAAATTTAAGAACCTACGGGTTCAACCAATAACGCAACAATTTTGCTTGGTTCTTAAAACACACTATTACATTATTAATATACTATAATTACCCTAAGATCCATCCTTGGGGTTATGCCTTTGCTCATGCCCTAGGCAAAAACCGGATACCTCTTACAAATCCACTATTTGTATTGTTTGGGCTTTTTTTATTCTAACAAGACCCGATCGATTATCCTGTTAAAAATGGCCTTATATAAACATTTTCCCTTTATCAATTGAGTTATATACGTCCGTTTTAAAAAAATATAATTGAAAAATGTGTGAAATTAATTTTGTATTTTTACTATAAATATTTTTTTATGTAATAATATAAATGGAAAATAAATAAGGTTATATAAATATATTGGAGAGAGATTCAAGTTATTAAAGAGATATTTTAGGAATTTTTTTTGATGTAATAAATATTTGTTTCCAATTTTGAGATTTTCTTGTGATTTACTAACAAAATTTACTTTAAGTTTTGTTATTTATTCAAATGGCAAGGTTTTAATTATGTAAATATTACAAAATAAAAGGTTATAACCCAAAATAGATTTTAGTACAAAATATACTTCAAAAATGTTAAGATAGACAGTGCACTGAAACATTAATAAAACTAAAATGAATAGAAACCGGAAAGCAATCTAAATATCCAATTGATATCAGTTCGGGTTATAAATATTACTAGGATTTATCCCGTGGTACACCACGGGTCCATAATTTAATATATTTGCTTGATTTATTATTTTTATAGTTGGTTTATATACTATAGTTTTATACGTTTTTATATTATTTTAATTTTATATAATTTTATGAATTTGTATAATAAGTAGACTCATAGATATATGTGGTCAGTCCGCGATACACTTCACAAAAAAAAAAATTGCAGTACACCACAGGATGATTTGTTGTAAATAAAAATTTATATTTTAACTTAACCCGTAAAACTTTTTTAATATACACAACCCGTAAGAAACATATAA